TATTTTCAAAATCTATGCGTACTATACGCCGGATGCGTATTATACGAGCAAAAAACATGATTTTTCGGTAATTATTGAATGCGTACTATACGCCGATGCGTACAATCTCCCGATAATCAGGGTAATTATTTTAGCAAATAAAATATAATTTTGTTTAAAAAACTTTATTTAATCTAGAATAATAATTTTTGTTGTTAATTTTATAAAGTTATTGAATTAATAGTGAATGAATTAATAAAGTATGTCTTAAATACTATTGTGTTTTGTTATCATATCTATTATCAAACACATTCATTACAGTTGATTTAATTTTATTTAGTGCTAATTGAACTAATTTGCACTAAAATTAGTGCATATTTTGATTAAATACTTTGACTATTAACAGCTACTGTATATAAACACATTTAAAAATCTAGATTTGACTTGGTCCAATTTATAGGAACGAATGTGTAATTTAATATTTAACATTTTCTATACGTCTATACAACTTTGATTCAATCATATTATAAAAATTTTAAATATGAATATGAAATAAATTATGAATAATATTTTTTGTACTAATAATAATGTTGAATATTTGGTATATAATAGAATAATCAATTGTTGTGAACTTTTTATCAGTTTGTTATATTCAAAATAATATTATTAACTTTTATATTAAAGAAATACTTTCCTTTTTACTTTAAATGTTGGGTTTATTTTATGATAACAGGGTAAATGAAAAAATATTTACGGTAAAGGAAAATAATTAACAATAAAGTTAGTTATAGCAAACAATTTGTTATTATATTAAAGTAGGGTATTTATAATTTAAGAAAATCTTTTAGATTAGTTTTACTCAAATTATACAAATACTGTTATTGATTTATTATAATAGATGTTATATTATAGTAAAGTAAGAATATTTGGTTTAGTGTTAAAATTTAAAATAAACAATTCAAATTTAATAAAATAAATTCATCTAAATCTTAAATAGTTTTAAAGATTTATATTTGATAAATAATAATTTATAAATATAATTTTAATTCAATATTTTTATTTATAAAATTACTTATTTATACAACATGCTTTTATATCTAGTAAAATAGTTATGTTTGTAAATATTTCTTGAAAATCTTAATTTCCAAATGTTTATGAATTAAATCCTGAGATGATCTTCAAGTTTGACAAAGTCTTCACTCAATTTCCAGAGAGCTTTGGCGGTCTTGTCGTCATTGGCTTCGGCTATCATATAATCAATTCGTCGACAATTGCTGTCAATTTAAATACTAATTAATATACTAATTATTTGCAAAAACATATTAATATAAGACATACTCATAGAAATATCCGGTCTCATCGTCCAGATCCTCCTCCAGAGCGCAATACAGTGTAGTCTGAGATCCCATGAAAGGTGTCATAAATAGGTTTCTCCTCATAAATCCCTTTCCTTTTGGTTTATCATCGGTTTTCTCAACATGTCTTTGTAAATCAGTATCAATGGCACCGGGATTTAATGAATACGTGTTGATGTAGGTATGTCTTAATCTTTTAGCCAACTCCCGGCTAAACAATACATTTGCGAGTTTGCTCTGTCCGTAGGCGAAGAATGGGTGATAATCACCGTTTCGGAGGTTTATGTTATTTAAATGGATTTCTCCGAAATTATGGAGACCTGAAGACACGTTTACAATACGAGCCGCCGATGACTTCTTCAGTAATGGCACCAAATGTAATGTTAACAGAAAGTGACCTAAAATTATATTAATAGTCATTTTTTAATATACTGTAATCTTAATTAAGTAGCAAATAGTAAATTATTATATATTTTTGTGAAAATAATAACCTAGATGATTGGTCCCGAACTGCATCTCAAAGCCGTCCTCTGTCTTCCATTCAGGACACGCCATAACCCCCGCGTTATTGATAAGGATATCCACTTTGGACTCCAATTGAGACAACTCTTTGGCGAAATGGCGGACCGATTGAAGTGAAGACAAATCAAGTTTTAATAGTTTTATGTCTGCCTTTGGATTCATTGATTGTATCTCTTTGACAGCCGTCTCTCCTTTCTTCACATCCCGACACCCGATGTATACCTAAATGTAAAATAATTAATTTCATTTAATATACAATTTATTGTGTTTAAATAATGTTAATATTAATTAAAAGCATTGTTTTATAATAATAATTTACTTTTATTGTTTATCAGTACTAAAAATGTATTATTAATTGCTTAGAAATTATCAATAACTTTATGATTAAAAATTATTTAACTTTTAATTTAACTCTTTCTATGGCTTATTAATTCATAAATTTAATTTATTGTTAAAATTAAAATTAATAAACCTTAATTTCTACATACCTTGGCCTCCCTGAGCGTCATTTGGTACGCCGTCTCCTTTCCAATGCCAGTGTTAGCACCGGTCACCACAACTACCTGTCCGTTCAGTTTCTTATTTGTCTTTACTTTACGTCTATATCCGAAGAAATTAATCATAAATGGATAAACCATTACCGTCAGAAACCGCCAGAAATATACTAATCGTATATGACTCCACACACCCATTATTAAATTATCAAGATAGTTTTTATAAATTCAAAACACAATAATATTCAAAATATTATCAACTCTCGTCTTAGACACACGTTATATAACAAACACAAATTCCTGGCTATTGATTATTTTTGTAGGAATACTGTTGAATGCAATTCCTTATAAAGTAGTTATGAATGCGCTGTCATGTCTGTGCTAAACTACCCGCCCTCCTATGTACCAAATGTGAAGGCCGTGTGTACTAAGTTAGTACTACTAACCGTTTATGAGCTGTTGAAGTGTCTGTTCAGCTCTAAAGGCATTCAAAGGTATCTGTGCACTAGAATAGCACTAAACGAACCAATCCTTTAGTATTCACTTTAATTGTGATCAAGTTTAACATTAAAACACATATAATTGCTATTTCACTACAAGTGAATAATAAATCTTTCTCATAACAATGGTATAAATATTAAAAGTTTCACAAACTTACAATTTTATTACATGTAACATGCGCATTATTATATAAGATTTTAGCGGTAAAGTAGTGCTCGATATGGCGCTCATGTGGTGATTACCGGCAGATACGCCGATAATGTGTCACAAGTGGCCACAGAATGTCTCAAAGTGTCTCAAACCTCTGGAATACAGTATAATATAATAAAACCAATGATAACTTTTAATTATAAATAAGCTGTTTTAAATTTTAGATATACAAACAGATTTTATGACTTAATATAATAAATAATAATATGAAAAATTTAAATTGCTAACTTGTTTCAGATTAAATACAAGATAAATATACTATAAAATGTAACAATTATATTCTGAGTGCATCTTCCAGTGCCACCAAATCGCACGTCAATTCCCACAACATATTAGCGGTTTCGTCATCCGTCGCCTGTTTTACCATTTTATCCACGCGTTTACAATTGCTATCAAAATCAAAATCAAAAATATTATACTACAGAATATTTGGCAACTATTAATTATATAAATAATAACAAATACCCCCGGAAACACTTTTTCTAATTTATGTGTAAATAAAACCATTTTGCTTTTTATTATGCTTATATTTTATATGCTAACTTATTGTAATATAATATACGGTATTATGGCTAAAAGTACTGACTTTATAATGTTATATACAATTTATTGATAACATACTTGTAATAAAATCCCGACTCGTGATCCAGTTCCTCCTGCAGCGTACAATACAATGTGGTCTGGGCGCCCATATCTGGCTTCATAAACATCATGTTCATCATGCCTTCACTCATATTACTGTGTCGTTGCAAATCAGTCTTAATGGCCCCGGGATTTAATACATAGCACGTAACGGTACTATTTTTACCCAACCGTTTAGCCAGTTCCCGGGTGCCCAGGACTACAGCCAGTTTGCTCTGACCGTAAGCCCGGGTTGGCGTGTATTTGCCGTTCCGGAGGTTAATGTTATCGAAATAAATTTTGCCGATCGCGTGCATACTTGACGACACGTTCACTATACGGGCTACCGGTGCTCTCTTGATGTGTGGCAATAGGGTCAGGGTCAGTAGAAATGGACCTACATTTATATAATATGTTAGAATAATATTACAGAATATTCTATATTTATAATAAATACCCAAATAATTGGTCCCAAATTGCATTTCAAAGCCATCCGTGGTTTGCCATTCAGGACACGCCATAACACCGGCGTTATTGATAAGGATATCAATGATTGCCTCCCTTTCCATCACTTGTTGCGCGAATTGACGAACAGATTTGAATGAAGACAAATCCAATTGAAGTGAAGTGATGTCTGCCCCGGGATTCACGCTTTTGATGTCATTGATAGCCGTTTCAGCCTTTTCTAGACTCCGACACCCGATGTATATCTGCATTAAGTTTAGTGTCAAACAAATCATAAGTTTTCTAAATGTCTATAAATAGTGAATAAATGAGACAAACCTTAGCCCCGCGTAATGAGAGCTGGAGTGCCGTCTCTTTGCCGATCCCAGTGTTGGCACCGGTAATGATGACTACCTTTCCATTCAATCTTCGCTCACTCTTACACTTTCGTCTCATATTAAGCGTATTTGTGCTAAAATCATAGGCAGCCAATCCTATCAATGTCTTTCCCGTTTGAATTGTTTCACACATTTTCACTTAAATGTATATTTTATTTATTAATCACTTTATGTAACAATTCAGTCAACACTCGACTGATGCTAAAATCAAATGATACTAAACTGATGCTTGATAGTCTTTATATACTTGTTTACTATTTATGCTACACTTTATTACAACGTAAAAGTATAGAATAGCTGCACTTTTAGATTGGTTTCCTTATACTGTATGCATTTATATAGATATTCTGTGCATTCATACACACGTATCAAACTTATGGTACGATCGCACCCATGGATTAGTAGTATTATTATACGCGTAACCTTTTAAGCACGGTCGCACTTAACTTATTATTAATACAATGGATGTTAAAATTAAGTGAAAATAAGTTGTAGTCCTAATTCTAACTGAACATAAAAGTAATAAAAGTTTTGATATAGTTAACAATAAATTTATTTAGTATTATAATTATTTTAGTAAGTTGTGTTTGATAAATTTGTGATAAAAAATTTTTGTTAAATATTTTATTTTATGCTTTGAATGACTTAAAAACAACATGCATTTATTATTATGTAAGTAACTTTATTTTAAATAAAATTAAGACTTATTAATAATAAGTTTTAAATTTAGTAAATAATTATACATAATAAATTGTACTGATAAGATAATTGACACAAACAATTTGTATTAAGTTAATTCCATTATAAATTTTAAAATACCCAGTAAACAAAAGCCTTAAATTACAATATATTCAATTAAATTAGAATTAATTAATTCCCTCAACTAGGTTATTTATTTTATACATTTTATACAATCGTTTAATGAAAATTCTGGACACAAACTCAGATTAAATTGTAAACTAAATTAGTTTTTTCAGAATTTATTTTATAATTACCGGTATAATAAAAACATTCATTTAAAAATAAAACTTTTATTTACGTGTTAAAGTATTATTTACCATAATAATATGTAAATTACAATAATAATAATTATCTCTTAATTTATTAATTAATTGATAATGTTGAAAATATTCTTGGTGAAACTATTTTTATTATATTTTTGCTATGATTTTATTTGTGACATTAGATACAATATTTAATTTTTAATCATTGATAATAATTAACAGTACTATACTGTAGTGTGCATTTAAAAATATAATTAAATGATTTTTAGGATATATGAAAAATACAAAGTTTGTTAAATTAGTATAATATAATTCAAATTCTGAGAGAATCATCCAGTTCAACCAATTCACAGCTCAATTCCCACAACATTTTGGTAGTCTCCTCATCAGTGGCCTGTTTGACCAGTTTGTCCACTCGTTTGCAATTACTATATAATCATTCAAAATAAGTTATAATTAAGTAATTAATTAATTAATATTAATGTTCACTACATACTCATAATAAAAGCCCGACTCGCCATCCAGTTCCTCCTGTAGTGTGCAGTATAGTGTGGTCTGAGCGCCCATTTCAGGGCTTAAAAACATCGCATTCATGAGGGTTTCGCTATACTTCTGATGCCTTTGTAACTCAGTCTTAACGACTCCGGGGTTTAACACATAAACGGTTACATTACTCTTATTGCCCAACCGTTTAGCCATTTCCCTGGTGCAGATGACCATGGCCAGTTTGCTCTGACAGTAGGCCGTCTGGGGATCGTATTTACCATTCCGGAGGTTTATGTTATCGAAATATATTTTGCCGATCTCGTGGAAACCTGAGGCCACGTTCACTACCCGTGCTTTCGGGGCTTTCCGTAGTAGTGGTAGTAATGTAAGGGTTAATAGGAATGGACCTAAAGTTTAGAATAAATTTAAAAAATAAAAATATTTAAAGAAAATATTTAATTTCAACAAAAATATTATAATAAATACCCAAATGATTGGTCCCGAACTGCATCTCAAAGCCGTCCACAGTCTCCCACTCCGGGCACTGATATATACCGGCGTTATTGATAAGTATGTCAATCATTGCCTCCCTTTCCACCACTTGATTGGCGAACTGTCGCACGGATTTGAATGAAGACAAATCCAATTGAAGTGAAGTTATGTCTGCCTTTGGGTTCACTTTTCTGATGTCATCGACAGCCGCGTCCGCCTTTTCTAGACTCCGACACCCGATGTATATCTGTATCGAGTTTAGAGTCAAACAAACGATAAGTTTTCTAAATGTCTGTAAATTGTGAATAAATGAGACAAACCTTAGCCCCGCGTAATGAGAGCTGGAGTGCCGTCTCTTTGCCGATCCCAGTGTTGGCACCGGTAATGATGACTACCTTTCCATCGAGTCTTCGCTCACTCTTACACTTACGCCTCATATTCAGTGCATTTGTGCCGAACTCATGGACAGACAATCCAATCATTCGCTTCCCATTTACTATAGATTCACACATTTTTGATAATAAACTTAATCGAGTCTTCGCTCACTCTTACACTTACGCCTCATATTCAGTGCATTTGTGCCGAACTCATGGACAGACAATCCAATCATTCGCTTCCCATTTACTATAGATTCACACATTTTTGATAATAAACTTGAAATTATATTTTCCACAAAAATTCTAAGTTATGATCACTTTTATAATATTGAAACTTATATTTATATAAATAAAAATAAACGGCTGTTTGTGAATATATACAGTGTACTTTCAGGACATTCGTTCAGTACATTTGCACTCTTGATCAATTCTTGAACATACAGGTAGAGAATATTCTATATACATTACTATATTGTACAGTACATACAGTTACATACTAATGTTGTTTTCACAATATTCATATCGATTATGCGCGATAAGAAGTTTACACTTAATATACACTAAAACTTTTTATAACCTTCAGTAATACAGCAATAAAACATAATTGACAAAACCTTCATGAATTAACAATAATTGCTGTCATAATACTGAATAACATACATATAATACAAACCATGATATAAACAAGTTAGGTAAATCTTATTACTGTATTGTATTTTACATAGAAAATAGACTATTTGTTACAGTAGTATCGTATAACCTATTGGGGATTTGATTAAATTTTAATTATTTATATTTGTATATTAAAATATAATTCTATGAAATTAGAATTAATTGTAATTCATTCTATAAAATAAAATTATTTTATTGTTTTAACTGATAATTAAATTTAATACCAATGAGACAGCCGTATTACTGTATGTTAATGTTAAAGTTACATTAATACTAACTACATTTGTAAGTTTCTTATGTTAACAACTTATTGATTTTGAAATCATAAATTATGAAAACCATAATTATGAAATTAACATTATTATTAAACTCTAAAACAAGTAAAGTAATTTCTGAAATGTTATTTATACAGTTTCAAATTGATAGATTAACCAAGATAAGATAGGTCTTCAAGATTAACCAATTCACAGCTCATATCCCACAGAACTTTAGCCGCCGTCTCATCCATTGAGTGTTTCGGCATATTATCCACTCGTTTGCAATTACTGTCAATAAATAAATCCATATTTTAATTGATAACTCAAAATCAATTACAAACAAAAGGGAAAGACCTACTCATAGAAAAAGCCGGACTCCGTATCCAACTGTTCGTCCAAAACGCAGTAC